GGGCCCAGGAACATTGACTAGGCCCAAGAACATTAACCAGGTAGCGCGCAGCCGGGACCCCGTTTGACCGCAAAAAAAACGCAACCGAATGTCAACCCAAGACATGTTTCCGAAGACGGCAGCCAGTGCAGCAAACTTACGAATGTCATGGGCATGAGGATGGACCGCAGGCTGGCTAGACCAAAGAACCCTGTCTGACGACCTGGGAGATCCAAACCCTGGAACTGAGAAGAAGGGAAACCGGATCAATCCAAAGCAAGTCCCCGGACACAGAAGTCATGACAAGCAAATAACGGCAGAGAGCCGCAACCTGACACAGAAGTTGTGGCACGCAAATAACGGCAGAGAGCCACAACCTGACACAGAAGTTGTGGCACGGCACGCAAATAACGGCAGAGAGCCGCAACCGGACACAAAACATGATGCACTCCTGGCCTAACCCACCAAGTATCAACAACCCAAGGACCCTTCCGGAAAGCAGCAGTCTCATTCTTTGCCAGACAAGAAGGAGATGGCTGCAACCGAACAAACTTACCACCAGGCCCAAACGAGCAGAAACCCCTGCGCCGGAAGAAAGCATGAAGCTCTCCGACCCGACCCCCAGAGGCCAATGCCAACAGGAAAGAGCTTTAGGGAAACAATCCTGATTCGAAGGGAAATCAAACCGAGAAGAAGAGAGAAAGGAGAACACCCGATCCAAAGACCGGGATGGCTCAGGCGGTGCATGAGCAGGCCGGAGGTGAAACAACACACGAGACAGCTTGCAGAACGGAGCCCAAGTATCATCAACCCCGAATGCAAGCTGCAGTGGCTCCGCTAGCGCCACACGATAAGAGGCAACAGTATTCCGCATAATATGATGGTCCTGAAACAACCACGAGAGAAAGGACAAGACAACCATATCAGAAACCGAAGTGCATCTACAAAGGTATAAGAAGAACTGGAAGGACTGCCAGGCAACTTCATACTGCCACCAAGATGAAGCACGCAGGTGGGACACCATCAAGGAAGCCACCTGATCCCCATACAAATAGTGATAGACCCGAGTCAAATAGACCAGACACGAAAACTCGAGGAGAAGATCGAACCAGCCATGTATCGGACTGGGCCGATCTCCTGAAAGAGGCGGAGCCACGGGAAGACCCTCGGGTTCGGACACCGAGCAAGCAGTGCCTGAAACCAATGCTGGGCCGGCCACCAAGGGACCAAGAGGACTATTCTCCCCTGGTAAGTCTCCAAGCTAGCCAGGATCTGACGTAATAGCAGAAATCGTTGGAAGAGGTAAAGGTAACTCCACCTCGACCAGCCCTGCTGAAAGGAGTCGACCCTGATGGCCTCGAAGTCGGGGAAATGCACCACATAATTCATGAGATGCCTCAAACACGTCGACGCGAAGAGGTCCACATCCAGGAGCCCGTACATCCGGCAGAGCCAACTGAACGAGTCGGCATCGACCGTCCATTCCGTGGACAGGGAAATGAACCGAGACAGGCCGTCCACCAGGAGGTTGGACAAACCCCCCCCCCCCCCCACGAATGAGAACGACAAGGAGAGCCAAACCCCGAAAACTCAGCAGACGAGTCACCTGAAGCGACCAGCCCCAAAGAGCCAAAGACCGCATCAAACCCCTTCAGTTCAGGCAATGAACCACCAGGAAGCAGTCCGAATGGAGCCTGATCATCGATCCGTGAGCGACCCGAACCCTCCAAAGTGACATCCACACAGCTGTGAACTCCCCACCGTGCTGTGTGCCCGACGAAAGTACGGACCCCACCACCCCTGGCTGACCTGGTGAGCACTGGTCACAAAGCTGCTGCCAAGAGACAACGCGTCTATGAACACATCGAGCGAGGGCTTGGGTAGGTGCCAATGCACTGAACCCAAAAAAAACGAAAGAGGAAGCCGGTGACGCAGCAGCCGACGCAAGGCCCACAGAGGCTGAACCCAGCGATCGCGAGAGATGGAAGGAACGTCCCCGGAGGAACCAGAGCAGCCGACGAAGCCACACCTGTCCCGGCAGAAAGACCATCTAAAGAATTGGCCAACATGGCTTGTTGAGACATGAGTTGGACTGAACAAAAGGCCACCCCCGCCTCCTGAAGGAGAGGGGGTGAACATCTTTGCCAAGCCTGCCAAAACCAGAACTGCAGGTCACACAGCCTCCAGCAACTGGGCAGACCCTAGTGACATATCTTCACAGAGATGCTCAAAGAGCTCCAGAAGGATCCAGACATGCAAGATTGCTGCCAAGTATGAATAAGGCTTGAGGTCTTCCCCACTAAGGGCCTCAAATAACACAGGCAGCTGCACATGGAGCTACCACTTCCCCAAATCCTTGAAAAGTGCCAAAGCAAATAGCTCAGGAGCAGAACAAAGGAAGCCCCGCTCAGAGACACCTGAAAGATGGAGCTCACCTCCTGCCGATCAAGCATAGGGCTGACAGAACCCCCCTGCCAATCCTCCAAGGGAAAAAGAGAGGGTTGTCAGCCAGCCAGGATGAAACTGAGACCCCTTACTGTAGACAATAAGCAGAGAGAACTGTACTTGAAAGAGGCTGGGTCCATTAAGTAAAAAAAAAAAAGAGGTCCATGTTCCACAGGAGGTACCGAAGTAAATTCATGTAGACCACAGAAGGAGCAGCATGGGAGGACAAAACCTCTGCATAAAGGATGAATCCGAGGTGCCTAACAGGACTAAGAATCAAACCCTAGGGAGAGCAGCCAAGTGATTTTAACTCATACATAGAGGGATGATACAAAAAATTATTTCCTGCAACACAAGACCCTCTGCAGAGGGGACAAAGATCCACAAAAGACTGAAAAGCACCCATGGGCACTCCTTGAGCTCCTCTTAACCATGAAAGTCTGCTACAAAGGCTCCAGGGCAGAGATGAAATCCTCGTTTAACACCCGAGACAGAAAGGTGTCCTCCCGAGGAAAGGGTAAGCATCCCAAAACCCTGGTAGGACTGGAAGGCTCAACTGTCTCTGTTATTAACATGGACGGGACTACCCCCAGAGAAGGTCGCGCTACACGCTGAGCTAAACCTTGACCCAATTTCAAAACATTCAGACGCTTTGGAGCCAAACTAGCTCTATCTATAAAGCCCACAAACTTTGTAAAATCTCTTTTATGTATGTACCTTACCTAAATAAAATTATTATTATTATTATTATTATTATTATAAACCGTGGAGTGTGGGGGGGGGGGGAGACCAGAAATAGCGAGTCCCACCAACAAGGGAAGGAAGGAGGCACAGATTTAATCCAGTTGAGTTCACCAACACCTCCAATTCTGGGTCCCTAAATACTATGGAGCAGGATTCCTGGTTCAACCTTGATGCTGTACAGACACCTGACATCAGCTCTGCATGGAGGGATTGCCGGAGCACATTTTGCTTTTGCTGCCTATTGGGTTATGTTTGGTTGTAAGGCACCTTTATTCAAATCCTTGGATGGTTACGACACCTGGTACATATATCGTCATGGGTCAAGGGGCGTCGATAGATTTTCTTGTTTCATTCACCTGGACTGTATGGGTCTCAAACTGTGAACCCCACGCGTGTGAGGGCGTAGCTCTATCAACTGACTTTTTTAGATTTTCTTGTGTTTTCTGGCTTGCACTTTGGGCCCTGTGGGGAGGTCCAAAACCAGCTTAGTCGAAAAGTGCCTAGGTCCAGCAGGCTCTGGAAGCTCCTATGTTCCCTCTGGATGTAGTGTGCGCCTGACTTTGCTCTGCCAGGGTTGTTACCCTGTGTGTAGTGTGGGTGGCCAGTGCCTGGCCTGCCAGGGGTATTTGGGTGTCACCAGGTGGGCAGCACCACTAAACAGTTTTGTTTTGCTGTCTGGTTATGTTTTGTCGTTTGGGATAGCTTCCCGTTTTATTTTCATACTGTGAATCCAATTTGACAGGGTGCATACATTTAGTTTCATTGTCACCTCTTAAATCAACACCACCACCACCTTAGGGCCAACTCTGGGGCATCCAGCCAATCAATATACTGCAAATGCTTAACATGAGGAAACCTAACTCCCAAAGTAGCCGCTGCCTCAATTGCCTCCAACTGGGAGGCAGAATCCATCAGTGCAGAGATCCAATGAGAACACATGTCACAAGAATCAAGGTCATAGATGTCATAGACTGAACAGGCATCATGGTAGGGATAGAAAGAATGATCACTGACAAGTAGCAAAGATGATCAACACCCCTTAAACTCACACTCAGCGAGTGGTCTTGAATGGGCGATCCATACGAACCATAAGAGACTCACTGGGGATCCTCAGAGCTTCAAGGATGTTAACCAAGCAGATATACCAGGCCCTCGCTCCACTCACTGCAGGAACAAAACCAACCGCAGCAGTGGGGTATGCCCAAAATCTACTAGCAGCACCAGTTGCTACAGCATCAGCAACAGAACTGAGGTGGAGGGTTGACTAAGGGCAGTGGCCAGGCCACATGGTGGCAGCAATAGGTACTAATGAGTTTCAAGCTGGTTTGAGTGAATCGTTTGCAGAGTTGTTTTTCCGTTTCAAGAGTTTGTTTTTTGTGAACCCTCCAATTGTCTGTAAAGCTTTGCTAACTTTCAGGAGGCTTTTTCTGGTTGAGTGGTAGAGTGTCACCAGCTCCTTGTGCCTCTGTGTGGGGATCAAACAGAACTTCTGCAACTGATATGATCCTTTAGTACAACATGTAGCATATAGCGAGACAATGGGATATTTTGTATAAAGTGTGGTAATCATATGGGAATTGGCAGGGAGACACAATTAACTTTAAGCTTCTCATACTTCCAAAATTACAGCTACTATACCATTCACAACATTAAAATGCTGTACTCTCATTATCAAAATTTAAATGGTTACAGGGCCATTTATCCCTCTTTCAAATAATTTCCAAATAATTACCTCACATACAATATTCTAACTAAACCATTTCATATCCAACATATTTTAAGCCAGTTTATCTACAAATATATTAATAGTGTAGGAGAATGAATCAACTAACCAGAGAATATATAGTCTTGGTATATTCCCCATCTCGGATCTGGATATTCTGCAGCATCATCATTACAAAGTTACTTTGCACGACCAATTATGAGAAGAAACACTGAGGCCAACTTAGTCTCAGTGTAGCTACTACACCCTGTCTCTGAGCCTCAGTGTAGTCGCCACACCGTTGCCAAGCCTCGGTAGAGTTGCCACACCGTGTTGCTGATCCTCAGTGTAGTCGCCACACCCTGTCGATGATCCTCAGTGTAGTCGCCACACCCTGTCGCTGATCATCAGTGTAGTTGCCACACCCTGTCGCTGATCCTCAGTGTAGTCGCCACACCCTGTCGATGATCCTCAGTGTAGTCGCCACACCCTGTCGCTGATCCTCAGTGTAGTCGCCACACCCTATCACTGAGCCTCGGTGTTGTTGTTTTTGTCGGTTGAGGAGGATCGAGGGATCGGATGCGTCCCGCTACCAGATACCGAGAAATAGCAAAGAGGAATGAGATCCCTACAGTCTCTTCAGGCCACAAACCTTATAACCTCTTCAAGCCACATACTTTACAGTCTCTTCAGGCCACATACTTTACAGTCTCTTCAGGCCACATACTTTACAGTCTATTCAGGCCACATACTTTACAGTCTATTCATGCCACATACGTCACAGTCTCTTCAGGCCATGGACATGACGAATGGTATGAAGGTATGGCGGAAAGATGTCATGACGGACAGCCTGCCTGGCCGCCACTGTCAACATTCCGTTGCTATGTGTTGCTAAGGCGCATGTAAACATTCTCGTCATGTCAGCAAACACAACCAGCGAACATTAATGGTCGTCTTTAAAGCCAGTGAACACTAATGGTCAGCTCAGCCAGCGAACGTGATCAACACACTCAAATTTAAATTCAAGTTCAAATTTTTATTTAAAAGAATGTATATGTTATGAAAATGGTGGGCTTGCTATGGGGGAACTGGTACTATTAAGGGGTAAGGTTAGTTAGAATACAGAGTTATCAAATATGGGAGAACTAAAAGGCCCGGCCCCCAAAATAAACTATCCACAGTAATAAGAACTTGTTACTAGACCATGTCAGACTAAAGGTTGATTATTGCACTCCCACACAGGAAGAAGGAATACTCCGTTCTAACTTACTTATTTATTAACCCCTTAACAACCCCCATATACACTATACACTTTTCACTCACATGAAAAGGTGACACCCCTAGGGTCAACACTTGCAGCAGAGGAGCTCCAGCATATTTCAACAATCCTAAGTATTGTAGTACAGGTTGATGGTAGTGAGTGCTGTCCCAGAGAACATAAAGGTATAGTGCTCTTGAAAAATAGGTGAGATAACAGGAAAGTGCTAAGGGAAGTGAAAAATCGGATGAGAAAAAGTTGCCCTAGTGTTTACAGTGCAGAGAAGAACATTCAAGATGGCCACTGGCAAGGGGAAAAACAAAACAGAGCTTGATTTTGAGGGATTCAATGAAGGAAGCATCGATATTAGTAGTCTACATAACAAGTTGGTAAATTTAGATACTATAGTGAACTCTCATGTAGAAATAATTAGTAAATTGAAAGAAAATAATGACCATTTGAATAGCAAAGTTTTATATCTTGAGGGTTTAGTGAAAGACTTGCGCAAGGATAAGAATCAATTGGAAACAAATTGCAAAGCCATGGAAGAAGAAAATAAACTCTTAAAAATAGCTTTGGAAGAAGTTAAAGTAAATTTAAACATAAATGACTACAATAGATTAGGCAAGGAAATTCAACAGGAGAAACAGCTTTTCTCAGCACAGATGGAGGAAGTTACACAGGGAATAGAACAGTGCAAGAAAGATATGCAACTCACTTATGCACAAGTGGCCAAGGAGAAGGAAAAAATAGAAGAAGCAGTAAAGGAAGTCAATCACTGCAGCAACCAAGATAAAACAAACATTAGGCTGGAAGTGAGAAAAGAATTGGCATCTACCTTACCTTGAGGTTACCTTGAGGTGCTTCCGGGGCTTAGCGTCCCCGCGGCCCGGTCGTCGACCAGGCCTCCTGGTTGCGGGACTGATCAACCAGGCTGTTGGACGCGGCTGCTCGCAGCCTGACGTATGAGTCACAGCCTGGTTGATCAGGTATCCTTTGGAGGTGCTTATCCAGTTCTCTCTTGAACACTGTGAGGGTTCGGCCAGTTATGCCCCTTATGTGTAGTGGAAGCGTGTTGAACAGTCTCGGACCTCTGATGTTGATAGAGTTCTCTCTCAGAGTACCAGTTGCACCTCTGTTTTTCAACGGGGGTATTCTGCACATCCTGCCATGCCTCCTGGTCTCATGTGATGTTATTTCTGTGTGCAGGTTTGGGACCAGCCCCTCTAATATTTTCCACGTGTAAATTATTATGCACCTCTCCCGCCTGCGCTCTAGGGAGTACAGTTTTAGGCTCTTTAGTCGGTCCCAATAGTTTAGATGTTTTACTGAGTGGATTCTAGCAGTAAAGGATCTCTGCACGCTCTCCAGGTCAGTAATTTCTCCAGCTTTGAAAGGTGCTGTCATTGTGCAGCAGTACTCTACTCTAGAGAGCACAAGCGTTTTGAAAAGTATCATCATCGGTATGGCATCTCTAGTGTGAAAATTTCTTGTTATCCAACCTGTCATTTTTCTTGCAGTTGTGACGGCTACTTTATTGTGTTCTTTAAAGGTAAGGTCTTCCGACATGAGTACACCCAGGTCCTTTACATTGCCTTTTCGTTCTATGTTATGATTTGCCTGAGTTTTGTACGTGGTTTCCGTTTTTATATTTTCATTTTTTCCATAGCGTATGAGCTGGAACTTATCTTCGTTAAACACCATATTATTTTCTGTAGCCCATAGAATAAATAAATAAATAAAAATAAATATGTTTATTCAGGTAAGGTACATACATACAAGTGATGTTACATTAATGGATTGATATATAGATAGAGCTAGTACATACAATGCCTAAAGCCACTATTACGCAATGCGTTTCGGGCAAGAAAAACATTAATATCTAGAACTTAATACTAATTGAGCATAAAGAATAAAAAGTGTTGAAAACAAATTCAAATAAAGATAAAAAAAGGGGGAACATGACTGAAAAAGCAGCACAAATACAATAGGTTGACAAACAGTGTTGATTAAAAAAAAATAATAATAATAAAATAAAATAACAGACATGGGTTGACAATAAAGGAGTGAGGTGGGTTACAGGGAATTTATTAGGTAGTGTTTAGTTTTTATCTTAAACTGGTTGAGAGAGGTACAGTCTTTAACATGGTTGGGAAGGTCATTCCACATTCTGGGTCCCTTGATTTGTAGAGCTTTTCTAGTTTGATTATGTCGTACTCTAGGAATATCAAAACTGTATTTATTTCTGGTGTGGTGCTCATGGGTTCTGTTACAACCTTCAATGAAGCTTTTGAGGTCAGGATTGGCATTACAGTTCAGCGTTTTATATATGTATAATACACAAGAGAGAATGTGCAGTGACTTAATATCTAACATATTCAGAGATTTGAGTAAGGGTACCAAGTGATGTCTGGGGCCAGAGTTGGATATTGTCCTAATAGCAGCTTTGTGTTGGGTAATGAGAGGACGTAAATGATTTTGGGTAGTAGAACCCCAATGACCTGATGAATGACCTGATCTACATCTGACTGGAGGTTCGCCGTGTCCTCTATGTTGCCTACTCTCATGAAGATCCTAGTGTCATCTGCAAAGGATGATACAGTGCTATAGGTTGTGTTCTTGTCTATGTCCGAAATGAGGATGAGAAAAAGTACTGGAGCAAGCACAGTACCCTGGGGGACTGAGCTCTTCACGGTTGATGGGCTGGATTTTATTTTGTTGACTATTACACATTGGGTTCTGTTGGTCAGGAAATTGTAGATCCATCTGCCTATTTTTCCGGTAATTCCTTTTGAACGCATTTTATGTGCAATAACACCATGGTCACATTTATCAAAAGCTTTTGCGAAATCTGTGTAAATTACATCCGCGTTTTGTTTGTCTTCCATAGCATCTAATGCCATATCATAGTGGTCCAGCAACTGCGACAGGCAAGAGCGCCCTGTTCTGAAACCATGTTGTCCGGGGTTATGGAGTTGCTGTGATTCCATGTATTTTGTGATTTTACTTCTTAGCACTCTCTCAAAAATTTTTATGATGTGCGATGTTAGTGCTATCGGTCTGTAATTTTTTGCCTCTGCCTTATTTCCTCCTTTATGAAGTGGTGCTATCTCTGCTGTTTTTAGTATATCAGGAATAACGCCAGTATCTAGGCTTTGTCTCCACAGAATGTGGAGGGCCTGCGATAGTGGTTTTTTACAGTTCTTTATGAATATATAAACTAACCCGAAGTTGGTGCAAAACACAGTTGATCGGAGTAAGTCCCTGATCATTTTTGGCTGCAAAGAAAAGGCGATAACATCTAGGTCAGAAAGAGCTGTAGAAGAAGCTAAAGTAGTAGATAAAATTGTTGGCCTCGTGGAAGGTCTTACAACCATAGAGAATGTGTGCGACTACAGGAGAATAGGCAGGTACGTAAAAGGGAAAGATCGACCTTTGAGGATCACCCTAAACGGTGCCAAACAGATGGAAGAAGTACTAAGGAATGCTAGAAAATTGCAAAGTGATGAGGATGGGAAAGGGTGGTCGTTAAGACGAGATCTTTCAAAAGAAGATAGAGAGAAGCTGAAACTGAACCTCGCCGAGGCAAAACATTTAAATGAGAGCAGGAATGAAGAAGAAATAAATTCTTTTTTCTACAAAGTGATAGGGGTAGGCAAACCAGTAAAGTGGTACATAAAGGCAAACCAACAAAATCAATAGAGAGAGGGGGAGTGAAGAATAAGGAGAGGGGGAACAAGTTCCTGAAGATTGCATACACCAACATAGATGGAGTGAGATCGAAGATACTGGAGTTAAGTGATGTAATACAGCTGCAGACACCAGACATTGTTGCACTCACGGAGACAAAACTTGAAGATGTAATTTTAAATGAGGTCATATTCCCAAGGGGCTACTCAATTTGGAGACGGGACAGAAAAATTAGGAAAGGCGGTGGCGTTGCTGTGCTGGTAAAAGAACACCTAAAGGTGAACGAAATAATGACTGCCAATCCACAAGAAGTTGACATAATAGCACTAGAGATCTGCCATGAGGATGATAAACTAATGATAATAAATGCATATTGTCCACCGCCAAGCAGCACATGGTCAAAGGAGGAGCTAGATAGTAAACGTGAAGGTCTTATAACAAAAATGAGAGAGATTATAGCGAGAGCGGATAACGATAGATTACGACTGTTGATAGTCGGTGACTTCAACTTGAAATCCATAGACTGGGAAGCATATGAAGCTAAAACAGAAGATTTTTGGACCTGTAAATTTGCAGACCTCATCCTGGAAACATTCTTGTATCAACATGTTAAACAAGCTACGAGGATGAGGGAAGGGGACGTTCCCTCCATGCTAGATTTGATATTTACCAGGAAGGAGGAAGAGATATTTGACATTCAGTACCTTCCTCCCTTGGGTAAAAGTGACCATGTCTTTTTGGGAATAAAGTATGCAATGCGTTATAAGCTGGAAGAAAATAAGGAGGTTGAAGCAGTTGAAAAACCAGACTTCAGGAGAGGACATTATGGTGACCTTAGAAATTTTTTTAGTGAGTATAATTGGACAGACTTGATGCTAGGCAAGAAAGTGAATGAGATGTATGTCAAGTTTTGTGAAATATATGATAAAGGCGCAAAAAAATTTATACCAAAACAGA